AATTAATTAAAATTAAATAAAATGTAAAATTCATTCCCTCAGGCATACTAGCCACACTTCAGGTGCCTGGTAGCTTCATAACGGCTAATGGCTGCTGCATTCTGAACAGCACAAAAGAACATTTCTATCATTGCAGAAAGTTTTAGTACTGGTCTAGACCATGAGAAGAGACCGTGAGACTGTGCAGAGAAGAGATTGATCTATTTAGTTCTATAAATTCTGCTTTCTTAATAAATAGAAGACCAGATCCCCCAAATTGTATTCTTAAGTCTAGACTACTCTTTTGCTGAGACTTGTGGAAAAGAAACAGGAAGGGATGAAAGTGCAAAAAGCATTAAGATTCACACCAGGAGAAGCAGGCAGCATTCTAACTGAAGCGAATGATCAGGTCCTTTTGGTAGAAAATAGTATTAACTGATGAGAAGTCTTAAGAGTAGATTTATAATTCAAAAACTAGAAATGAAATTTGAATTAAGCTGTTTTCTCTGCTGGTAAAATACAGATTTCTAAAGGTAGATGAAGTATAGCTATCAATCAAATAATTTTCTGTTGGGCAGCCCCGGTGGCTCAGTGTTTTAGCGCCACCTTCAGCCCGGGGCGTGATCCTGGAGACCTGGGATCGAGTCCCACGTCAGACATCCTGCATGGATGGAGCCTGCTTCTCCCTCTGCCTGTGTCTCTGCCTCTCTCTGTGTCTCTCATGAATAAATAAATAAGATCTTTAAAAACCAAAGCTAGATGCTAAGGAGGTGGAGAAATTGGTATTTTATTATAGGATGGCAATCAAGGTTCTTTTTTAAAAGTATTTTTTGGGCTTCTTTTGGATAAAATATTTTGTTCAAGTATTTTTTAATTTCATCTATTATTGGTGAATTGCCTATATTTTTAACATTTTATTAGTAATTTCTCTGTAGTTTATATCTTGACTCTTCATGGGCTACCTTCAAGTGATATACATTTTAAATATATAAGGCTATAGCAATATGCTTCTGCTTTACAGGTTGTAAAGCCCATGTATTAGGGTTCTTCAGAGAAATGGAAATCCCATGTATTAAGGTTCTTCTTTATATATATCCTATATGTAAGAGATTTATTAGAAGGAAGTGGCTTTCATGAATTTGGAAGCTGAGAAGTCTAAAGATCTGCAGTCAGCAAGTTGGGGACCCAGGAGAGCTGATGTTCCATCCAGTTCAAGTCCCAAGGCTGTGAAGTAGGAAAGCTGAAAGTGCAATTTCCAGTCCAAGTTCACAGGAGAAAACCCATGTCCCAGCTCAAAGGCAGGCAGGAAGAGTGGGAGAGAGAGTGACACACAAAACTAATCATTACATCTACCATACATTTTTGTTATTTTTTCTTTAAACTTTTTATCTTCTAAGAATTTGTGTAACTAGATTTCTATCTGCTATTATTTCCTTCTACTGAATTTTTTTCTTAAGATTTTTATTTATTTGAGAGAGAGAGAGAAAAAAAAAAGTGTGGTAGGAAGGAGCAGAGGAAGAGAGACACTCCCTGCTAGCAGGAAGTCTGATGTGGGGCTTGATCCCAGGACCCAGAGATGAAGGCAGACGCTTAACTAAATGAGCCACCCAGGTGCCTCCTGAACATTTCTTTCTTCGTTCTTTCAGAGAGAGAGAGAATAAGCAGGGGGAGCAGCAGGCAGAGGGAAAGGGAAAAACAGGCTCTTCACTGAGCAGAGACTGATGTGGGGATTAATCCCAGGACCCTGGGATCATGACCTGAGCCAAAGACAGAGGCTTAACCAACTGAGCCACCCAGGCGCCCACTGAATGTTCTTTTAACACTTTTTGTAGTGCTGATCTGCTCTCTGAATACTTTTACTTTGAAATACTTTTAAGATTTTTATCTCTGAGTTTTATGAATTTGATGATAGGCTTTGGTGTGTTTCCTCGTGTTCCTTCTGTTTAGGGTTGATTGAACTTCAATGTGTCTGCATTTATCATTTTTTATCAACTTTGGAGAAATTGTAGCTTTATTCAACTATTTTTTTTTTTTGTCTGCCTCCTCTCCCCTTTCTTCTGAGTCAGTTGAACATATATTATGTTGCTTAATACGATTCATATCCCACAACTCAGGCTGTTTTGGGGGTGGGGGTTAAGGGATTTTTTTTCCTTTGTCTTTCATTTTGCAGAGATTTCTATTATATCTTAAATCTCATTTATTTTCTGCAGTTTGTAATCTGTCAGGCCCATCTTTTGTGTTTTTTCAGTTAAGAAATTATACTTTTCATCTGTAGAGATGCGATTTGGATCTTGAGTATTTCATATCATGTTCCTGCTGTTTTCCACTTTCTTGAGTATATTTACAACAGCAGTTTATCATCCTTGAGTTACAATGTTGTTATCTGATATTTCTGCATTATCTCTGCTGATTTTTTCCTCAGTATAAATTGTATTTTCCTGCTTCTTTGCTTCCTTAGCAATTTTTATTGGACCCTAGCTTTTGTGACTTTACATAATTGGATGCTGGGCTTTTTGTGTTCCTTTAAATGTTGTTTGGCTTTAGTCTCATATGAAGTTCTTTGGAATTGGTTTGACCCTTTTAATCTAATTGTTGTTAGAGTGATGCTAGAAGAGCCTTTAGTTTAGGACTAGTATCCTTACTTACTGAAGCAATATCCTAACTATTCACTGGATACCCTATCTATTAAGAGGTCTTTCCACTCTGGATGGCCCAGTGTGATCTTTGAGAATGCTTTGCCTTTTCCTTTTCTGGTATTTCTTTCCTTGGCTACTGTAATTTGATCACACACATGCATGAATAGTACTGGGCCAGAAATTTGAGGGTCCCCCTCTGTAGATCCCCTTTCTCTGTGCTCTGATCTGCAAAGTCTAGCTGTCTCAGCCTCCTCAACTCCAAACCTTGTTTCCTCAACTCAGGAAGACTGATGAGCCCTGGGTACTTCCTTCCAGCACTGAGACTTGGAAGCCCCAGTCTTTTTATGCTCAGGCTTTTGTATTTGTAGCATTACCATGTTTGTTTCCTTTCTCATAAGGATCACTGTCTTGTGCTGCCTATTGTCTATTGTCTAGGAATTATTGCTTAGTATATTCATTTTTCTAATTAATCAAGCAGAGGGTAAGCCTTTTCCTCTTATTACATTATGGTTTAAAGAAGTCTTAAGTCATTCCTCCTTGTTACAACATACATGAGGAATCTATCTTGAGAAGAAGAATCTACCTTGAGAGGTAAAATGTATCATTTGAAAGTTTGTCACTTATCTTTCCCCATCCTAGCCTGTTGAAAATAATTTAAAACACTGAGGGTCACCTAGGTGTCTCAGGCATATAGCATGTGACTCCCCCCCCCCTTTTTTTTTTAAGATTTAACTTACTTATTCATGAGAGACAGAGAGAGAGGCAGAGACACAGTCAGAGGGAGAAGCAGGCTCCATGCAGGGAGCCTGACGTGGGACTCAATCCCGGGACTCCAGGATTGCGCCCTGGGCCAAAGGCAGGCGCTAAACCGCTGAGCCACCCAGGGATCCCCTTAAAATTTTTTTAAATTAAAAAACCTGACCCCTCAAACTTGACATTATAATGATATATTTGGATACATGGTAATACTCAGATGTCCTTCTTTTGCATAGTCATATATCTAAATCACCTGTTCTGTGAAGCTGTTAATTTTATTTTTTAAAGATTTTATTTATTTATTCATGAGAGATAGAGAGAGAGGCAGAGGGAGAAGCAGGCTCTGTGCAAGTAGCCCGATGTGAGACTGGTTCCTGGATCCCAGGATCACGCCCTGAGCCAAAGACAGATGCCCAACTGCTGAGCCACCTAGCTGTCCAAAGCCATTAATTTTATAAGCCAAAATATATTATATGCAAGTGATTAACTGATTATCAAATTTATTGTTAGAATGTTATCTTAACACTGTGAAAGTGGGAAGCAATTTGCTATAAAAGTATACCTGCACTTACCACATGACCCAAGAATTCTACTCATAGGTATTTACCCTAGAGAAATGTACCCTGGAGTAAACATATACCTGCATGAAGACTTGGGGGTGAATATTTTTAATAGCTTTATTTGTAGTGGCCCTAAACTGGAAATAATCTAGATATTCATCCACATGGATAAATAGAGCACTGCCCACCAATTAAAAGAAATACATTACTAATATGCAGAATAACGTGGATGAATTTCAAAAGTATGCTCAGCAAAAGAAGCTAGACACAAAACAATCTATATGAAATTCTTTAAAAGGCAACCAACTGTGAGTGCCAGGATAGCTCAGTTTTTAGGTGTTGGCTCTTGGCTTCGGCTCAGGTCATGATTTCAGAGTCTTAGGATCCAGCTCCATGTCAGGCTCTACACTCAAGGGGGAGTATGCTTCAGGATTTCTCTTGGTCTCTCTGCTCCTCTCCTTGCCCCACTACTCACTCTGTCTTTCTCTCTAAAATAAAGAAATCTTAAAAAAAAAAAAAAGGCAACCAACTAATGTATAGAGATGAAAATCAGAGATGTAATTAATTGCCTAAGGTAGGAGGTGGGTAAGTATTGAGTGCAAAGGGGTCATAGTCATAAGGAAACTTTGTAGAGTGAAGGAACTGTTGTATATCTTGATGAATATGTTGGTTGCACCAAGTATATACATTTGTTAAAACTTGTCAGACTGTATTCTTGAAATGTGTTCATTTATTGTATGAAAATTATACCTCAAAAAGTTGACTAAAGAAACCTAGTAAGTGGGTTTAACAAACCACCTAGAAATATTGGCTGAATCTGACACATTTAAATAATATATAAACAAGTATACTACATCAGAATATAAATATAGTAACGTTTATATTAACAAATATTAGCAACCTGGATTCTGATTATTTTCTGAAATGCAGAGTTCTTTTCAACCTTTTACTTAAGGTGTGAAACGAGAAACTTGGATAGAAATTCTTTGTATTTGGCTATTAAAAGGAAGAAATTTATACATTTAAAAGTTAGTTTTTAAAAAATTGGCTTAAGACATTTTTTTTCCAGAAATCTTCCTGCCAAATCTGTGGAAGAAGCTTTACGTCACCGACAAGAATATGATGAGATGGTGGCCGAGGCTAAAAAACGAGGTATAAAGTTTAACTCTGATTGGTATATTTAATTTACTAATGTCAAAAGGAATCTAACCCGTTGGTTAAATTTCAACAGGATGATGAGAAATTAAGTCCATCTTTAAAATGATGCTGTTTAAAAAGTAAATAAAAAATAAATAAATAAATAGATAGATAGATAGATAGATAAATAAATAAAATGCTGATTTCTCATTTTTCTAACTAAATCTGTTATTTAAAATGTCAAAAAAATAAGAATAATAAAAATAAAATGTCATACTTTTTTTTCTGCAAGTACTTTTATAAGACTATTATGAGGAGAAAGGCAGTAGACTAAGAAGGTTCTTGTAATTGCAGTCATAAACCTTGGACTACTATTATTTTAACTTATGAGTGAAAGTGATACGAATTTATTTCATGAAATTCACTTGTACAGTTTTTAAGCTTTTAAATATTATAATTTAATACTTTTAACACTTTAAGGTAACTTCCTATAGGACTGTGAGAATACGATTTGAAGTTGGAGTTTACTAATGTGACTTAATGGAGTCTCTCTAGAATCCCAGAAGTGTCATTTGGACAGGCGCATAAATGTCTATTCTGGTATAAAAATTCACACATTTTTTTATTCTCTCCTCCAACCAAAAAGTATAATGTAAGGATAATTTAGCAGTATTTATTTACTAACCACTGTTAGTTCAGGATACATTTTTAGAAAATATTATACAGCTATATATATTTTTAGACACATGCCTTTTAACTGATTTTTTTTCTTTGACTTAAGTTAATAGAATACTAATGTATACATTTCTATCTTGTGGCTTTATTTTGGAAATAAAGTTAATTTTTAACTGTTATAAGAAACCTATAAGGCCAGTTATATCTTTCTAAAAGCTGTATCATTTAAACATTGGTTGAGTTAATTTTACTGTCTCAAATTTGAAATATTCCTAACATACCCAACAAATTTTAATTGACTCTGAACTTTGACTTTACTAGTTGATTAATGTTTAAGATAGTTATTGATAAGTATGTGATGCTAACAACATGATATAGAAATAACATTAAATTGGGAAATCGGAAGGTAATGACTAATCTTTGACACCGCATGTAAATAAACCTAATGTTAGTTTTCTCAAGACTGTGAAGTTTGGGGGGGGGGTGTTAGGTTGACTAGATTTAGGCTTTCAAGCCACTCTGTCTATACTTTTTTGGTTTATTTTATTATTTTATAACACTTTTTTTATTTTAAAAGCAGTGGAAAAAAAAATAAAAGCAGTGGAACTCTCTCCAACAAAACGTTACATAGGATTGCCAAAGTGGCTCAGTTGGTTGAGCTTCCAGCTCTTGGTTTTGGCTCAGGTCATGATCTCATGGGTTGTGGGATCGATCCCCAGGTCAGGCTCTATGCTCAATGGGAAGTCTGCTCGAGATTCTCTCCCTCTCCCTTGCGTCCCGCACCCCCTGCCCCAACACCTGCTTGCTCTCTCTCTCTCTCTGTCTCTGTCTCTCTCTCTCTCTCATAAAATAGATCTTAAAAAAAAGAAACCTTATATGGATTTTAATATTTACAACAAATTAAAGAAAGAGGAGTTGCTTACTTGACCTCCTGCTTACCCCTTAAAATGATTACTGAGGTATTTGTGAAACGCAGTTAGTAAACATTTAGGCTAGCTGACCATTGAAGTCCCCATTGGTTCTAAATCATATATAAACAGATGGGATGCCTGAGTGGCTCAGAGGTTAAGCATGTCTGCCTTCAGCTCAGGGTGTGATCCTAGAGTACCAGGATTGAGTTCCACATTGGGTTCCCTGCATGGAACCTGCTTCTCCCTCTGCCTCTGCCTCTCTGTCTCTCATAAATAAATAAAATCCTTAAAATTATATTTTAAATATATATTATTATATTATGTATTATATTTAACAATATGATATAATTATATTTTTAATGTACATATCTATCACTTCTCTCTTTTTTAAAAAAAGATTTTATTTATTCATGAGAAACACAGAGAGCAAGGAAGAGATATAGGCAGAGGGAGTTAGCCTGATGTGGGACTCAGTCCCAGGACCTGGGATCACAACCTGAGCCAAAGGCAGATGCTCAACCACCGAGCCAAGTGCCAAGTGCCCAAGTGCCCCTATCACTTTTCTTTTTGAGGCACCTCTTATTTCAGATTTGTGACTTCTGATTTTCAGAGGAGTGTTGTGTATTTGTTAATGGTTTTTTAAATTTCAATCTAATTAGTAAAGTGAGACATCATAGTAGAAAGGGTAAATTGTAAAAGTACCATTGGCAAAATTACTTTTTAATATCATTAAAAAAATTTAGAGAGCATGAGCAGGAAGAGAGGTGCAGAGGGAAAAGGAATGAAAGAATCTCTCCTTGCTGAGCATGGAGCCCAGTGCAGGGCTTGACTTCATGACCCTGAGATCATGACTTGAGCATAAACCAAGAGTCAGATGCTTAACCAGCTGAGCTACCCCTAATGTCATTTTTAATACCTCTTTTTTAGACTTAGATAGAAAAGGGCATATGACCTAACTTTTTTGTATTGAATTAATTTTTACTTGTTTAAAACAGAAATTAAAGAAGCCTATAAAAGGAAAAAAATAATGAAAGAACGATTTAAACAGGAAGAAAATATCGCAAGTGCAATGGTAATTTGGATCAATGAAATACTGCCCAATTGGGAAGTAATGTAAGTAAGCAGACTTTTCCTGAATTCCAGTCTGTCTCCAAAGATCTCATGTTTCTAATACTCTATTTTTTATTACTTCCAACATGTATCTTATGCTTTGGCTAAATGAAACTGTGAATCAGTGTCTGAAAAATTTCATGATTATTTCTGTGCCTTTAATTTTATAAATCCCTCAGTCTCTAATACATACTTCCCTAACTGACCACCCTCTATGCCTGTCAGAATCTTATCTATCCTTTGAAGATATCCATCTGAATGCTAGTTGATCTGTGAAATGGTAATTTCCTGTTACCATATTTTCTTAATTCTGACATATCCTTTGTCACAAGATGCACTATTGATGTAATAGCAGGTTTTTGTAAAGAAAATATTAAAGACATACATTCATTGTAAGATGCATTTGTTAAATGTTAAATATTAAAGTGATTTTTAATATGCTTCTCTCATAAACATAAATTTGCTATATACGACCTTTCCCTTCTATAATGTCTCATAATAGTTTGAGACTAATGTACTACTTGCTTTACTTTGTCTTTTATTTTCTGATCATATTTTTGTATATGCCTTATCTTCTCTCTAGACTGGAGGGTTGGAGATGTATTCTGCAGTGCCTACTGTAGGGTATGCATGAGGAATTTGTTAATATTGGTACTATGTGATAGATAACAAATTAGACTCTTTAATCACATTTGATTCTTATGATCTTCTCCCAATTTTAGAGAAGCTCAGGGTCAGAAAGGTTAAGTAATTTGCCCAAGGTTATACAATTAATGAATAGTTAAATTAGATTTGAACTCAGGTCTCTATGACTCTAAAGCCTACACTTTCAGTAGACTGCACTGCCTCTCAAAGACAAAGGCCTTACCCATAGTAAATACCTTGTGGTTGTCTTTTTGTTACTGAGTTGACGACAAATTTTTATGTTCCTTTTATCTTGTTTTTTTGTGATTGTCCCATATTTCTGATTCTCTCATTGTACCCTATAATTGGCAGCTGTTGAAAGCAGCTCCCTTTAAATTACTATTGTCTTCCATAGGGTGCTATGTATTCTTTAGGTTTCTGTTGCCTACAAACATGAACCCCATGGAAAGAATGCATCACATATTTAACTGTGTTCTTTTTTTTTTTTTTAAAGATTTTATTTATTTATGATAGACATAGAGAGAGAGAGAGAGAGAGGCAGAGACACAGGCAGAGGGAAAGGGAGAGGCAGGCTCCATGCCGGGAACCTGACGCGGGACTCAATCCCGGGGCTCCAGGATCGCACCCTGGGCCAAAGGCAGGCGCTAAACCACCGAGCCACCCAGGGATCACCACATATTTAACTGTGTTCTTAAAAATCATTCAGTCACTTGGCCATAGACTAGGTAAACCATCATGCAACTAGTGTTTTTGGTATAAAAAGTAACTCTTTCCTTTTTTTCTCCCCCTTTAATTCTAGGCATAGTACAAGAAGAGTTCGAGAATTGTGGTGGCAGGGATTGCCCCCTAGTGTTCGTGGGAAAGTTTGGAGTCTAGCTGTAGGAAATGAACTAAATATCACTCCTGGTTTGTATTCTATATTCAGTTACTCCCACACATGTGAATAGTCATCTCCAGAGTTACAAAGCAGATTACTAGATTGGCCATTTAAAAAGACATTATCATATATAATGTCATTTTAAGAGCATGCTTCATTCCCACTCCTTCTAAAACCTTTATGATTTAATGAGTAAGTTACTATATAAATGAGATTTATGGGTTTTCCTTTAGTTGACAACCATCAGTAATACTATTGACATCTAAATATCTTCACTGCAGATAACTTCTGGGATTCTAGGTAGCAGTGGATGTATATACAAGGAAAAGTAAAATAGTCTAGTCTATTCAAAAAAACATAAATATTGGTGGAAGGCTAGAAGTTTCTTTTCCTGCATCTCTATCCAAACCAGTCCTTTTGAATTTTTTTTATTTGACAATTTTCAAATTTAAAAAACAAAAAGAGGACTCTCAAGAACTGTTTTTTTTCTTATGCTTTTTAAAACCTTAAAGGATAAAAGTAAAATGTAGAGTGGTTTAGAGGCAGTAAAAAAAAAAAGAAAGGTTATATAAAATTAGGATAATATCAAATAGAGGAATATGTAAAGTAGTTAGTAATAAAAGGTGCTAATAAATAGGTCTGAGTGATAATGACAGTGCTAGACAGTGGCACCACAGAAAGACTTAGGGACTCTGGTATATAGTAATGTGAATAATAGATTGTTGCTGTTACTTAAAAAATGTTATTACATGCTAATTTTTTAAAAGACAAGCAATAGTAAGGTACACGCAATGTTTCTTCTCCCTCTTCTACTCAAACTCCTGCTTTTGATCCTGCTATAAGTTAGCAGTTTAATGTATGTTCTTCTAGATCTTTTCCCTATGCACATTAAAAAAGTGTGCATCAACGTATGATAATTTTTAAGGCTCCCTCCCCCCCCAAAAAGGAATGTGTGCCATAAGCTTATTTTGTGGCTTTTTTTTTTCAAACTATACTCTGTCTTGAACATCCTTCTATATCACTACATACAAATGTACCTTATGTATACTATAGCACTGTATTCCACAGTTTGGCTGTATTATAATTTATTTAATCCTTTTCTTAGTGATAGCCAAATCAATGACATATATATTAAAAGAACAACAGGTACTGTTTTTTTTACCTCTCAAAAGTGATTAAAATAAATGAGAATAACCCACATAGGGTATGACTGATAATAATATAGAAATTTTTATCAAAGGCCTCAAAAAATAACCTTTGACCTATATATTCTTGCTCTAAAAGTAAGAAAATTAACAGGATTGGGTACAAAATCTTTTCTACAAGGATGCCCATTGTACCAAATCAGCTTTATATTAACTGGACAGAATTATAACAATAATCTTAAAAGTTATGCCAACTTTGAATAACATGATTATGAATGATTTTTTTTTTTTAAAGATTTATTTAAGAGAGAGAGCATAAGCCAGGGAGAGGGGCAGAGGGAGAGAGAGAGAAGCAGACTCCTTGCTGAGTGGAGAGCCTGATGCAGGGTTCAATCCCAGGACTCTGAAATCATGACCTGAGCTGAGATCAAGAGTCAGACACTTAACCAACTGAATCACCCAGGTGTCCCTATGAATGATTTTTAACATTGATTTTCACAAGTATCATAATGAACATTTTACTTTAAACTAGACTTTTTTTTTTTTTTAATATAATTGAAAGGAAGAATTGAATGAGGTACCTGGCTGGCTCAGTCACTAGAGCATGTGACTCTTGTTCTTGGGGTTGTAAGTTCAAGCTCCGTGTTGGGAGTAGGAGTTTACTTTAACAAAAATCTTTTTTTTTTAAGATTTTATTTATTTATTCATGAGAGATACACAGAGAGAGGCAGAGACAGAGGTGGAGGGAGAAGCAGGCTCCATGCAGGGAGCCCGATGTGGGACTCAGTCCCAGGACTCTGGGATCATGCCCCGAGCCAAAGGCAGATGCTCAACTGCTGAGCCACCCAGGCATCCCTTACAAAAATTAATTAAAAAATAAAGGAAGAATTAAGTTTTTAATTTAGCTTAGAAAAGGTTAGAGTCTACCTAACTCAACCCTTCCCTCCAAATAGAACAGAGATTTGTTTTGCCCTCTGTGCTTGAAACAAAAGGAAATATATATAGATATAGATATAGATAGATATATATATTATAGTTAGAACTCTCAGATAAAATCCTTGACTTTAAAGACTATTGGACATATTGTAATTGTTTAAAGCCTTAAAAATAGGTTTTGCAGACAGATGAGGTGATAAAGTATTGATGGCTATTTGAAATTTTGCAGTTTTGTTCAGAACTTTGGAGTTAGGGGATCCCTGGGTGGCGCAGCGGTTTGCGACTGCCTTTGGCCCAGGGCGCGATCCTGGAGACCTGGGATCGAATCCCACATTGGGCTCCCGGTGCATGGAGCCTACTTCTCCCTCTGCCTGCGTCTCTGCCTCTCTCTCTCTCTCTCTCTCTGTGACTATCATAAATAAATAAATTTTTTTAAAAAATTAAAAAAAAAAGAACTTTGGAGTTAGGATTTTAAGTGTCCTGATAACTTCTACATTAATATAATGGTTAAATTGGTATTAACCTTTTGTGATACTATAATCAAAAAGTTCTTTTTCAAGCTCAAAATTTATGAAGTTGGTAACATAACCAAGTTATTTATTTTGTTTTTGTTTTTTGTTAAATTTTTATTTATTTATGATAGTCACACACACAGAGAGAGAGAGAGAGAGAGGCAGAGACATAGAGGAAGAAGCAGGCTCCCATTGGGGAGCCCGATGTGGGACTCGATCCCAGGTCTCCAGGATTGCGCCCTGGGCCAAAGGCAGGCGCCAAACCGCTGCGCCACCCAGGGATCCCAAGTTATTTATTTTGAAAGTAATTTTATATTTTCTCTACTAAATAGTTGTGTATTCAGGAATGGATTAGGTGATTATTTTTTATTAATGGTAGGAAGGAAGCTAAATTTCAATTGAAGTAAATTTATTTTTTTAAGATTTAATTTTTTAAAAAATATTTTATATATTTGAGAGAAAGAGAGAGAGAGTGAGAAGAGAGAGTATGAGCAGGGGGAGAAGCAGGCTCCTCATTAAGCCAGGAGCCTGATGTGGGGCTCGATCTGAGAATCCTGGGATCATGACCTGAGCAAAAGGCAGATGCTTAACTGACTGAGCCACCCAGGTACCCCCCCAAATTTTATTTATTTTAGAGAGAACGTGACTTGGGGAGAGAGAGAGAGACAGAGAATCTGAAGCAGACTCCATGTGCACTGAGCATGGGGCCCAATGCAGGGCTTGATCTCACAACCTTGATTGAGGTCATGACTTGAGCCAAATTAAAATGTCGGACACTCAACTGACTGAGCTACCCCAGCCCCCCAAAGTAAATGTGCTTTTGATGATTTTGTTTACTTTTAATGATTCTTAACAGTTTGACTTTTTACTTATTTAATCATGAAATTTATAACCATTTAGAGAATAGTAGAATAAGGGTTTGTAGAATAAGAATAGAATAGTAGAATTAGAATAAGTAGAATAGAGAAAAAGAGTAAGGGTTCTAAAGTCAGTCAAATGTGGTTCAAATCTTGATTCCACTATACATTAGGTTTGTGACCTTGGGCAAATTACTTAACATCTAAGAGAACTCATTTTCTTCATCTGTAAATGGAGGTAAGATTATTAAGCTATCTCAAAGGATTGCTCTAACAGTTATTTGTGGTAATGAATATAAAATTAGAGTGAAAGTAAAATTTGCTGAGAGTATATACAACATCATCGTCAGAAAATGAGAAAGTGAAACATAGACTGATCTCAAAGAGTTCGTAATTCAAGTCCAAGATATACCTTTAAGTCTGCTTCAGGTTCTACATTTGTAGATTCAGAATAACATAAATGAGATGTGTGGAGTCAGTCAAGCATGGAATTGAACTGAGATTTCAGGTCTTCTTATAGTAAATAAGCACCATAAATCTTCCCTGGAGAGATGTCCTTTGATTTTTTTAAAGTGCATTACCACATTCTTATTATTAGATCAATTTTGGGGCTCCCAAAGATGATTTATTCTGTGGGCCATTCTTCTTCTCGGAGCTTTAAAATTTGAGTAGAAGAGTGAAACTGGATGTGGCTTGGAATCAGTTTGAAATCAGAAATTGTGAACTTCAGTTTGATATCTGATAACTGCAAAAAAAATTGTATATCTGAATTAAAAAATTATATCCACCTCTTCTATCAAATTGTTGATGGACTCAAATAATAGAAATTTTGACTTTTAAAAAAAAATCTTCTTCCTAAATCTTTGAGTGATGAAAAGTGAAAAGGGAGAAGAGCTCAAATAGAGTCTGAAATATATCTAGTCAGCTTTTTTTTAAATAAAGATTTGATTCTTAGCGATATGAGAATATTTATTATTATGGTACAGTCATACATTGGAATACTGTGCAGTTGTTTAAAAAAAAGAAAACTAAAGCAATTTTATTCTCCTAATAAGGGATCGTTTCCAATATAATAAAGCAAGATGCAGGTCACTGTTGTAATATGTTGCCACACTTTTTTCAAGAGGAAGATAGGTCTGAATATACTTGTGCATACATATTTCCATCTTTAGATTTCTGGTAAGCATAGTTACATCTGAGGGAAAGAAATTTATTTTTCATTCTATACTGTTTTATACTATTTGAATTTTTAAAAAATCATATTCATCCTATTGCCTTTAAACAAACTTTAAAAAAAAGGCAAACTGAAGCAAAAATGATCTTGGTAAAAAAAATGATCTTGGTATTATGGGCAATATATAAATGTTGGTGTATATGTTTTTTGCTGTTCATCTGTCATTGAAATGTTCTGTTTTTGTATAATTTCGAATTTCAGTAATGGTTAGCAGTAAAGACAATTAAAACCTGAATTGAAAAAAATTTAGTTTCTTCTGTTCTTGAAATTGTATTGAGATCTTGCGTTTGGATGCATAAAGTGGTAGTTTCAAAAGTTGATTGGGCACTTGAAAGATAGGAGTAGAGATTTTTGAATTCAGGCTCTCTGACCAAATCTGAAGTTTAGGTAGCTTTAGATAGCAATATCATAATGGAGAAACCGGTTTGAAAAGAGAAGGAAAGTAAATACTAGCATTTATTGAGGGTCTGTAAGGTATCAAGAGCTTTATGAAAATTATCTTGTTAATTATCAGAATCTTTCCAGTTATTGTAGTAAATAGTTTTGGTAAAATCAGGTTCTTCAGTTTGCCACACTTTTGATGCCTGCTATATGAAGCTGTGATAAGATTTTTCTCTATTTTCTCTATTTTTAAGAGTAAAAGTTAAATCAGAATTCATTTACCCCCATATATCCAATCTGTTAGCTAGAAGGTATATTCTGTAGGTTCTTCAGATATCTGCAGTTGGGCTTCTGCCCCCTCCACCTTCAGATGTTGCTCCCCCCAGGGTCACCTATGATCTCTGTGCTACAAATTCCAGTGTGTACTTTTGCTATAAGATACTGGACAGTTGATCACTTCCTTCTTTGTAGCTTACATCCAAATGCTTCCAAGATTTTACATATATTATCTCATTTAATATCTGAAACCTCAGGATTTAAGTACTAGTACTTTCTCAACTCTATGAATGAAAAACTGAGGCTAGAAGAGGTTAAGTAACTTGTCCAGTGTCACACAGCAACTCCCACACAGCAACTCCCTATCCTGTGTATACTTAGTGAAATGCTCTTTCCTTTGGTTTCTAAGACAACTGGTTCTCTTTTATTTCTTTGTGCATTTCTTATTCTCCTTTGGATGTGCCTCTTCCTGGGTCTACCCTTTCAGTATTTGTCTTTTCTGGAAATCCATATTTCTCATTTTTTCTTGCCCTATATAATCTTGAACACACATGAAAGTGGTTTTAATCACCACCTATATGCTGATGCCCCTCAAACTCTTTCTCCAGTCCACATGTGCCACCTTCAAATCAAAAGTGAACTTACCATCTTCCTACATCCCACAAGTCACAAATTTGCTTCTTCTGTGTTCATTCTCTCATTGGCAGTATTATCTACCCAGCTACTCCAACCAGAAACCTGGGAGTCCTAATGAGTCTGCCTTCTTCCCCTCACTCTCTCAACAAGTTGTGGTTTTTCTACTTTCTGAATATCTTTTGTGTTCATTCCTTCCCTCCAACTGCACTATCACTGCTCAAGTTCAAGCCTCATCATCTTTTGCTTGGGCTATTACAATAAAACTGTTAACTTTCCTTCAGCAAAACTTCAGCTTCAACCTACCCATGACACTACTGCTGGCATAACTGACACAAATCACATAAATCAGACTGTGCTATACCCCTGCACCTATGGATGAACTCTACCCGCCTTAGCATACCATTTGAGTCTTGTCCTGTCAGGATCTAGTGCTTGCCTCTGTCATCCAACCTCCTCATTTCCTCTTCCTCTCTCACCCATTATAATATAAGAGTACTGAAATCTCTTGTAATTCATCCAGATAAGTCATGATCTCTTTTTTTCTCTGTGACTTTGCCCATGATGAGAATTCTTAGAATGCCTTCTTCCACCTTGTTCATTTATAAAACTCCTATCTATTCTTTATGGACAGCTCAGCTCATCACTTCCTCTAAGAATCCTTCCTTTATTTCCCATCTGGGTTGGGAAATTCTCCAAGTGATCCCACGGTTCCATGTATGTATTTCTCACAGCACTTAATTCTCAAAACTACCTTGTTACATGTGTAGCCCCAAGTTTACAAATGAACCTTTCCATGACCAGGGGGAAAAAAGTAAAAAAAGTTAAAGTATATGAATGTATTTTTCCTACTACTTACTAATTTTTATTTTGTTTCCCTAGAACTTTATGAAATCTTCCTCTCAAGAGCAAAAGAACGGTGGAAAAGCTTCAGTGAAACAAGTTCAGAGAATGATATGGAAGGTATGATTTTTCTTTTTAGTAAAAATTTCTGGGTGAAAATCCAGTCAGATACTAGTGTGGTTTTTTTACCATGGGTCAGGAACTGTAGTAATTGCTTTACAACATTATCTCCTTTAACATTAATAGCCCTTTAAGTAGGTGATATTATCCCAAAAAGTATAGGAGGAGACTCAAAGTAGTTAACTTGTAAGCAATGAAGCTGTGAGGTAAACCCAGATTTTTGGACCTGGGAACCCAGGATTTGTTCACAACAGTAAGACTGATAGAGTGAAGTATTTTTAAGCCAACTTTTACCTTAAAAATAGATGGTCTTCGCTCCTCACCTATGACCTCCTATCTCCTCACTCACTGACTTTCATATACTCCCTAATACATTATTTATCATTCTTATCATGCCTTAGCTTTTGTTCATTTAATTAACTCATAGACGTCATCTTTCCCTTCATTCTCATCAGTTTTCTTTCCTAATCATTTTAGAGAAGATAGGAACACTTTTTTCCTGTTGTCATTATTTCTTAAACATAGGTAGAGGTGGCTCAGCGGTTTAGTGCCACCTTCAGCCCAGGGCATGATCCTGGAGACCCGGGATCGAGTCTCACATCAGACTTCCTGCATGGAGCCTGCTTCTCCCTCTGCCTATGTTTCTTCCTCTCTCTCTCTCTCTCTCTCTCTCTCTCTCTCTCTCTCTCTCTCTCTGTGTGTGTGTGTCTCTCATGAATAAATAAATAAAATCTTAAAAAGAATAAAAATATATAGGTAGAGGGCAGCCCAGGTGGCTCAGCGGTTTAGTGCTGCCTTTGGTTCAGGGCTTGATCCTGGAGACCCGGGACTGAGTCCCATGTCAGGCTCCATGCATGGAGCCTGCTTCTTTCTCCCTCTGCCTGTGTCTCTGCTTCTCTCTCTCTCTCTCTCTCTCTCTCTGTGTCTCTCATGAATAAATAATAATCTTAAAAAAAAATAAGTAGATTTATTCAGCCATCCCTTGGCCTTGAATATGGAGAGCTATTTGCCACTTTTCTTTCTATATTTGTTCTGCTTCATAGATAGCAAACACTCTTCTCTTGCCAGTAAGTAAAACTCTAAAAATGAATGTGGTTTAGAATAGAGAAATGGTTTTCTATTAGTATGTAAACGACTCTGCTAACTTCTTTGAATACTGTTCTATTTTAGAAGGATGAACAGTAGGGTGGGGAAAATCAAGTAAACAGTGTTAGAGAGACTTGATTTGAAAAGGGTTCACGTAAGTGTCATCTTGAGACCTGTTAGCTATGTCAGCTATTTGTGGGAAACTAAAAGTGCAAGGAAGGTGCAGATGTAAGACGCTTTATACTGACAGGACCTTAGCTGTTTCATAATTCTTTTTGAATTCATTTTTATTTTTATGAAATACTGGAAATATAAGAATTAAAATTATAAGCATTTACTTTTGAGACATTGTCATGATTACATGGTAAAAGTTGCACTTTAGTAGAAATTAATTGCATGTAAATGAAGAATTGTTCCAGTTAGAAATCATCTTCTGTCTAAATTATTGATTTCTTATTCCCTGTGTGTTTATAATTTGCAGTTGTCATTTAACTTTTTTGGCCATTTTTTTTTTAATATTCTGCCTCAATTCTCCTCTTTTTTGGACTCCAATTACATATGTGTTAGACCATTTATCAGTGTCCTACAAGTCTCTTTCACTTAAAAAACGTATTTTTTTCTTTCTGTGACTCGGTTTAAATGATTTTTATTGACCTGTAATCAATTTCACCAATCCTCTATTTTCCTATATCCAGTCTATTAGATCTGTCCAATGTGTCTTTAATTTCAGATATTTTGTAATTCTAGAATGTCTACCTGGTACTTTTTGTAGACTCTATATCTCTGTGGAAATTATTCATCTTTCCGTCCAATACATTTTCCCCCATCTTTTCCTCTATTTTCTTTAACATTTAACAGTTAATATTCTTATTTGTTAATTTCAGTACTGAGTCATCTTTAGGTCTGCTTCTGTTGGCTCATTTTCCCCTTGATTACAAGCCAGTCATGTTTTCCTGCTTCTTTGCATGTCTTAAAAATTTTTTATTATACATCAATCATTGTGTATAAGAATATATATAAACTGAAGTTGAGGTTTCCCCTGCAGGCCAAGGTTTCAGCTTTAGGTGAACTTAGTTCATCGTGGGTTTCAAATACCTTGGTAGGAAGAACTATTCTATTTTTATTCTCAGCTTCTTCCTCTCCTGAAATACTCTCCCAAAGGCCTTGTGATTTTGAGTAATTTCCTTCTACCTTTCCAGCCCTGCCTTCTGCCCTACACTAGCACTCAGCAAAAGCCCCTAGGGATAAACCAGTTATACATTCAGGCTCCTGCAGATTCTATCACAGCAGTCTTATTTGGTCATGAAAAGCTCTTTTGGTTTCTCTTTTCCCAAGCGCAGTACCTTTGTCTATGGCAAGCTCAGTCCTGAACTCATGCCTAGACTTGGCAGATACCTCTAGGAAGAAAAATGGCCACCTTGGAAAAATTCTTCTCTTCCTGGGATTTAAATCTTTTAGATATCTCTATGTCCACAGCATTCTTAACACCTTTTTAAAAAACTTGTGCGGGCAGCCCGGGTGGCTCAGCAGTTTAGCGCCACCTTCAGCCCAGGGCCTGATCCTGGAGACCTGGGATGGAGTCCCACATCGGGCTCCCTGCATGGAGCCTGCTTCTCCCTCTGCCTGTGTCTCTGCCTCTCTCTCTCTCTCTCTCTGTGTGTCTTTCATGAATAAATAAAATCTTTAAAAAAACCCAAACTTGTCCTATTGGAAACTTACTTGTTTTTTCCCAGTTGTTATTGTGGGAGCGATAGTCTGCTCTTTTTTAAATTTTGCTTTTTTAAGATTTTTTTCATTTATTCATTAGAGACAGAGAGGCAGAGACATAGGCAGAGGGAGAAGCAGGCTCCCTGCAGGGAGCTCAATGCAGGACTCCAACTGGGAACTCTGGGGTCACTCCCTGAGCCAAAGGCAGATGCCCAACTGCTGAGCCACCCAGGTGTCCCTGATAGTCTGCTCTTATCTTGCCTAAAAAAACTAGAGGTAGAAATCTTTCATAAACCTTTCTGACAAATATATAAATATTTTCTTCATGTAAGAGGCTCTAAGTTCGAGGAAAAGCTGTGTGGCATTTCTTTAAATTTCTTGATTATTCAGCTTTTAACTTTCCTTAAGTAACATATCTATGCTGTGTGATCGATCAATCTGTATGTACAAGATTGAAATGGTTATAGCCAAGTAATCATCTTATATCTGCCTGGCAAATACAGGTGTATCTCTTGCTGATCGGGAGGCCAGTCTGGAATTAATTAAGTTGGATATATCCCGTACATTTCCATCCCTTTACATCTTTCAAAAGGTGAGGATTTCTAACAAGTTAGAACTACTTTAAAATTTTTTTTTAATCCTAGGCAACAAATTGTAAAATGCATAGCTATTATTTTTTAGAAGGCTAAACTATAAAAGTTGGAGACCTTAAAAAAAAAAAGTTGGAGACCTTTATATAAAAATGTGAAACTATTAGGAAAATTCTAAAGGAATTTCTGTTGTTTTGTTCTACTGACTAAATGCATTACAGTTAGCATAGCCCATAATGACTTCATTCATTAAGGTGAATTTCTTTTACTTTTTATTCTGTAAGATATTTGAATTCGAACATTTTTGCTTATTAGTCAGTTGTTAAAATGTAAAGAACGTTTTCCCAAATCTTAGTTTTCCAGAATTACTATGGAAATAGGAAAAAATGGTTCATAAAAATGATTTTGTGCAGAGGCTGTCATGAGTTGCTTCTAATTTGAGAAATGGTTACATTTGTGTATACTTTATATTTCACACATGGAATTTCTCTAGATTGATAAAATGAGATAAAAATTATTTACCACTAAGATTAAAATTCTTAACAAACTTAATTTGGTATAGTTTGATGATTTCTTTTTGCTAAAATTATATTGTGTGAAAGGAAACAGTCTGTTTTCATCATAATCTTAGTGTATCAAATTTAGAAACTGTAAAATGGTACATAGACTATATAACTTGTATCCATCAAGTGAATTTATTTGACTTTTTATTGTTCAGGATTAAATATTTTTTATTAATTCTTTAGAGGAAACATCTTAGAGTGTATTTAGAATATTTCTGGCAGTGATACAATTTACTAAAACTACTCATTTAGGAAATGCTAAAGTTTATTTAAAAATTTAATTATTTGGGAATTAACTTAGAGACAGTTATTTGTACAGTTTGACATTTCATTTTTCTCTCCTAAGGGTGGCCCATATCATGATGTCTTACATAGTATCTTAGGAGCATATACCTGTTACAGACCTGATGTTGGTTATGTAAGTATTTGTTTCAATCTGGTTTTTGAATATAAACATCTTATCTGTTATCAAAGTATCTTATGTTGTACTAGCTCCTAAATGTATGTAATCGCTAGGTCTTGTTTTTCTTGGGTTCATCAACTTACCCAGAGAGGAATCTTCGCAGGGTTAGGGCTAGGCTTGTGAGACGGTCTGCCAGATTTCTGGAAGAGCTGCTGGGAATTTTATTATTCACTCTGCAAACTCTTATTAATTGCCACTGCTCTTGGGGTGGTGCCTATTGTCTTCTCACTGTGCCTCCAGAGATAAACTTCTTCTATTATGTCAGGTTGAAGGAAAGATGGGCATCCGTCCATATAGAATAGAGGAGGGGATTTTCTCCTTTTATAAATTTTCAACCAATCTTAGTTTTTATTTTATTGTTTTTTAAGATTTTATATATTCATTCATGAGAGACAGAGAGAGAGAGAGAAGCAGAGACACAGGCAGAGGGAGAAGCACGCTCCCCACAGGAAGCTGGACGTGGGACTCGATCCTGGGACTCCAAAGGCAGCTCAACTACTGAGCCACCCAGGCATCCCTCAATCTTTGTTTTAGCTTAAACTCCCCTTCTTCTCCCCCAGACCCCCAGTTTCAGAAGGGCCTGATAACCATTCTGAGCCTTCCAGATTTGTGGCTGAATTGGTGTACTGCTTATTGGCTTATTGGCTTCCTCCTCTGCAAGTATTTTAGTTTTAACATTCTCCATTTAGTTACAATTTCTAGAATGCTAGTAACATTTTTATTTACTGTTTATATTATTTTCCATTCTCTTTGTCCTCCTAGTATTTCTTTTTCTTTACTGTCATTTTAGTTGGATTTTGGAGGGAACATAGAAGAATGTAAGTGTTCAGTTTGCCATGTTTAATTGGAAGTCATAAAACCTCATCTTCTCACCTTTGTCTTAAAATAGAAGAATTTAAGAGAATAGGATTGTCTGGTGCAACTTTATTTTGTTCCATGTTCATTTGTACATTAGTTCATTCATTCACTCAAATATTTATTGTGTGCTCATTGCTATAGGTCAGGTGTTGTTCTAGGCACTTGAGGTACTTCAGTGAAGAAAATAAAGATTCCTCCCCTTCTGACACTTAGAATGTAGAAAGAGGAGACAGACCACAAACAAATCATATATTATAATAAAGGTGATAAGTGGGCAGCCCCGGTGGCACAGCGGTTTAGCACCACCTGCAGCTTGGGGTGTGATCCTGGAGACCCGGGATCGAGACCCACATTGGGCTTCCTGCATGGAGCCTGCTTCTCCCTCTGCCTGTGTCTCTGCCTCTCTCTTTGCTCTCTCTGAATGAATGAAAAAATCTTTTTTTAAAAAAAAAAAATGTTGTAAGTGCTACAGGACAAATATAACATAGTAAAAAGGGGGGAAGTGGGAAGTGCCAAGTTTGGGTATGGGGCAGGTTTTATATTAAAGATGGTCAAAAAAAAAAAGAAAAAAAAGATGGTCAAGTAGTTGTAATGGAGAAAGTGAAACTTGTATGAAGAGTCTAAACTCTTGCTCATGTATTATTACATCATAAAATGTAAAAATATTATGTAATGTTCATATTTTTTAAAGATTTATTTTTAAGTAATTTCTGCGCCCAACATGGGGCTTGAACTTACAACCTGAGATCAAGAGTTATAGGCTCTACCCAGAGCCAGCCAGCTGTTCCTGTAACGTTCACATTTTAAGTTGACATTTAAATTTTATCGTCATGAGTTTATTTTTTATTTTATTTTATTATTTTATTATTTTATTTTTTTATTTATGATAGTCACAGAGAGAGAGAAAGAGAGAGAGAGGTAGAGACACAGGCAGAGGGAGAAGTGGCTCCATGCAGGGAGCCTGACGTGGGACTCGATCTTGGGTCTCCAGGATCACACCCTGGGCTGAAGGCGGCGCTAAACCGCTGAGCCACCTGGGCTGCCCTCCCTAATTCTTTTTAAATTATAACACATGAACAAGAAATGTAAGATTAGGGAGATTTCATAATTATTAGCAGGTTCTCTATATTTACTTTCATTGACATTAAAAAGAAATCTTGATTAATTCTACTTTAACATTACTTTATAATTTTTTTTTAAAGATTTTATGTATTCATGAGAGACACAGAGAGAAAGAGAGGCAGAGACACAGGCAGAGACACAGGCAGAGGGAGAAAGAAGCAGGCTCCATGCAGGGAGCCTGACATGGGACTCGATCCCGGGTTTCCAGGATCACGCCCTGGGCTGAAGGCGGTGCTAAACTGCCGAGCCACCGGGGCTGCCCCGCTTTATAATTTTTTAAGACTACAATGAGTATTCTTAAAATACCTCTACACCTCTCTCTCTCTCTCTCTCTCTCTCTCTATCTTTCATGAGTGGATGAATAAAATCTTTTAAAAATTTTTTTAAAAGAATACAATAAGATAAACTGTATAGAATTATTATTGTAAGCACATTTTGATTAATTTCTTTTCTCTTTGAAGGTACAAGGGATGTCTTTCATAGCAGCAGTTCTCATTCTCAATTTGGAAGAGGCAGATGCCTTCATTGCATTTGCAAACCTCCTCAATAAGCCATGCCAGTTGGCCTTTTTTCGTGTGGATCACAACATGGTACGAACATTTGGAATGAATTGTGTTTTCCTTTGACGTTCAGTTTTTATAGTCTGAATGCTCAGGGTAAAAAACAGTAATTAGAAGACCAAAATAATCTGATCTAAAATAAGTTTTCCATTGAAAACCCCTACCAATCATTGATGAAAAGACTCAGAAAGCAGTGCTAAGCAAGATATTCTCTTAATTTATTATTAAGGATTTAATTTCTCTATTTCTAAAGTATACTTCTCAATAACTTTATTGGTATTTCTGTCTTTAGATGTTGAAATATTTTGCAACATTTGAAGTATTTTTTGAAGAAAATCTCTCCAAATTATTTCTTCATTTTAAATCTTACAGTCTTACACCAGACATATACTTGATAGACTGGTAAGTCATAACATAAATAAAATACAATTAAAAGAAAACAAAGTATAACTTTTTTGTGTATTTTAGGAACTAGCGTAAATCTCACGCACACGATAAAAACTCCTTCCTTTACAAATAGAGAAACTCACATTTTTGTGGGGAGGCATTTGATTATGGGCTGAAATCAGAATCTCTCAGTCTGTATTTTAGTTTCTTATGTATAAAATCAGAATAATACTGTATCTTGGGTTGTAGTGAGTGTTCTACATGGATTATTATCTCCTTCAATATCTACATGCTATGGTATCAGAAAGAGCCATGTCTTTATCATTTTTAACATACAAGAACTTGCGATAGTTATGATAGTGGGTTGTTGTTGTTTTCACTAAAGGCTTTGTTTTTTTCAAGACTTTCTCCAGCCTTTTTTTTTTTTTAATCCAGCTTTTTGACAGAAGAGATCACTTTTTTTTCCCAACATTACAGTTATACGTCTTCCTTGCCGAGGACTCTTTTTTTGTTTGTTTTGCTTGCCGAGGACTCTTGTATGAGGCTACCAGTTGATACAGAATGGTGGGGTGGTGAATTGTGCCAAAGGGAGCAGCAATTATCTTAAGATAGGTTGTTAAGGGGCAGCCCGGGTGGCTCAGCGGTTTAGCGCCACCTTCAGCCCAGGGTGTGATCCTGGAGATCTGGGATGGAGTCCTCTGTTGCATTGGGCTCCCTGCATGGAGCCTGCTTCTCCCTCTGCCTGTGTCTCTGCCTCTCTCTCTGTGTCTGTCATGATTAAATAAAATCTTAAAAAAAAGAAAAAGTACATATGAAACATTCAGACCTTACATATGGCCATGCCTCCAGTGCCTCCATTCAACCATCCTTTCAACTAGGGACACCTGACACCCCCCAGCTGAACTCCCCCCACCCCCCCTTCAGAAGCTCCTGGCTGGGGCCCCTTCCCTCTCCCCGCCCCCACATTGCCATAAAATCCCAATTATCAAATTCAGTTGATTTCATATAAATGATACTAAGTTTTAATATAGAAAAATAATTAATGGCCTTGATCAAATATGCTATATTCTCAGTTGTTTTTGGTTTATTTAAGCTTTTTTAAAAACTTATTTTTCAGTGTATTCTTTTCAGTTCCCACTAGGAACATCAGAGCTCCTTTGGGAAGGACCCAAGATAATGGGGAGAAGAAAGATTTTATGTTATGAGACCCAGAGGACCAAGATCAAATACTAAATCTGTAGAGAGGGGGGAAAGTATTCAATTGTCCGTCTTGAGGACCAACAAGTATCACAGTTGATAACAGGGAGCAGGATGTAACTAATAGTACTGTGTACTTCCTAGGCACTGCTGGTACCCTCTCTCATTTTGAGCAATGAATTACCATTCTCTCTACTACCAGGGGTGTGCTTTTGCTATGCAGTTAAATATGTGTCTATAATTAAGAAATAGACATGGATTTTTGTTTAATTGCCTCTGTTGAACTTACTGCGGACAAATTCCAGAATCAGTCATGCAAGAAAAAAGAGAAATAAGTAAGTGGCAGTGCTAAAGAGTAGGGGTGGGAAGAGCCTTTAGTTCCCTCCCTCAAGTTTCATCAGCACTGCCTCAGATAAACACAGTCTTTGAAAAAAAAAGTCTTATTTTGGGGGTGGCTAGCTTAGTTGGTGGGGTGTGCAACTCTTGATCTCTGGGTTATAAGTTTGAGCCCCATGTTGGGTGTAGAGATTACTTACAAATAAAATCTAAAAAAACAAAAACCCAAAAAACTTTTGCCAAGGCTGCTTCAAGAGAAGTTCTCTAGCATCTGCTCCTCCTATTTCCCCAACCAGAATGCTGCCTTAAAGTACCACTTGATAGAGAATTACATGATCAGACATTGTCAGAAAGGATGGCAAAACCATTTTAGTGATTCTGTTGGAACCATATATACTCCAAAAGAGGTAGTAAGTAAAGTTTGGTAAAGGAAAAAAAAAAAACAACAACCCAGTATATGTTTATTGTAGGAGAAAAGAGAAAAGTCAGATGTTACAATTTTTATTTAGGTTACTAAAAGATGATATTTGGGTTCCTCATAAAATCATAAGTAACTTTTATTGAACATTTCTTATGTGCCAGGCACTGTTCTGAATACTTTGCATTTATTCCTTTAATTTTCAAAACAATCCTGAGAGGTAATATTATACTTTGTTTACTAATGAGAAAACTGAGGCACAGCAAGGGTATATATCTTCCTCAAGGTAACACTCCTAATGCCAAACTCAGACATTCTGGTTTCAGAGCCCACAACCCTAACCACTAGGTGTTTTGCCACTCTAATTTGTGTTAGGCCAGGTCTCTGTGGGAGGTTGTAAATTACTTACTCCTTTCCCACTACTCAAGTTCTTTGAAGGAAGGAATCGTATCGTATTTACCTTCTAATCCCTAATTAAACACTGTTCTTTTTATATAGAGATGATTAATGAGTGAATGAATAAATGAATGAAAAGTATCAATGACTGTTTTCTCCCTAATTTTAGGATCTTCACACTATATAGCAAATCACTACCACTTGACCTGGCCTGTCGAGTCTGGGATGTATTTTGCAGAGATGGGGAGGAATTTTTATTTAGGACTGGATTAGGAATCCTCCGATTATATGAAGATATTCTCCTACAAATGGACTTTATTCATATAGCACAGTTTCTAACTAAATTACCAGAAGATATCACATCAGAAAAGCTGTTCAGCTGTATTGCAGCCATTCAGATGCAGAATAGCACCAAAAAATGGACTCAGGTAGAGTTACTTTTTCCTACTTATTCTAAAAGATGTGTTAAGACAATTAGTTGCCTTCTTATAAAAGCTGTTTATTTCTCGGGGCAGCCCCGGTGGCGCAGCAGTTTGGCACCGCCTGCAGCCTAGGGTGTGATCCTAGAGACTCGGGATCGAGTCCCAAGTCGGGCTCCCTGCATGGAGCCTGCTTCTCCCTCTGTCTGTGTCTCTGCCCCTCTCTCTCTGTGCCTATGAATAAATAAATAAAATCTTTTTTTTTAAAAAAAGAGCTATTTATTTCTCAAATGTTAGTGCATAATTTAAAAAGTTTTTTAAAAAATAATTTTTTCACTTTGAAAAGGCAAGAATTTAAAGCAGATTGCTTCTCTTTCCAAATCTGTGGCTTTTTTTTTCTTTTTATGTAACTTTGGTATTTCTTTCTTCACATTTCTTTCTTTCTTCAAATTTCAAATAGACAACAGTGTATCAAACACCTACTCTAGGGACCCAGGACCCCTGGGTAGCTCAGTCCGTTAGGAGTCTGACTCTTGGTCTCAGTTCAGGTCTTGATCTCAGGGTGATGAGTTCAGGCCCTATGTTGGGCTCTACACTGGGCGTGGCACATACTTAAAAAACAAACCACCTACCTTATACTAAGGATTTGCAATAGAAAGAATATAATGTATGATACTGGCTTTTTAGATGGTTAGTCCTGTTAGGGAAGCAAACATTGGCAATCTAAGTTAAGTACCATAAAAGATACCATAATCACTTGTTCCTTGAATGATAGACAATAGGCATCATAAGCTCACAGTTTTATTGCTTATGAAAAAGAAATGTAAGAATATGGGTCCAGAAGATGTTCTGTTACCAATAGTAATTTCAGAATATTTGGCAAGTGAAAACTGGAATCTAATTATATACCATAAAATTGGGTTGAAATGAACAAGAGGATTTGAGAATGGCAGTCTTCCAGGGGCAGAGGTAAATATACTAGTTTTTCATATTAATGAACTATAGTTACTTAAATCTCTTTATGCAGTAGTTAATTTTGAGGATTAATCTTTCCTTTATATAATTTCCAGGTCTTTGCATCTGTAATGAAGGATATTAAAGAAGGAGACAAGAATAATAGTCCTGCTCTGAAAAGCTAATCTTCAGAATTAACAGACTAATTGAAACATAAATAATGTTGTTTTGATAAAAGTTTTTTGTTTCCTATGTAAAAAACATGGAAGAAAATGTTGGAGAAACTTAAAAGAATCAAGACATGGAGAGACTTAAAAGAAACTGCTGATTTTGAATTCCATGGCTGAAGTAAATGAAATGAGTAACTGATTGACAGTATTAATAAAAAAGTATTTTGTAGGGAGAGCCATTTTATAAAAGGAAAAGTTTAAATGGCTAGTTAGTACTCCATAATTTGGAGTGAACAATTTAATGCAATAAACTTTTTTAACAGCTTTGGAGATTATTCAGATTTTTACATCTTTTCTTTTTTAACAATTACCATAAAAGCACTTTGGAAGTCAGAGCAGAATTGTTGAATATTACTTTAACTTCCAAAATACTATTTGAAATAAACACCTTAATACAAATATTATCTTCAGTTCTGACCTTTTGAAGATATTAGAGACCACGAGAAAGCAACTTTGATTGTAAAGTATTTAAGTCACTGAAGTTGTTACCTTCATTCACAGGTCAGGGCAAATTTGGGTTTTCTGGGAACTGGAAATACTGGTGGGAGCTTGTTTCATATTTGTTTAGGTGTTTTTCCACAGTATCATGTCTGTTTTTGAAGGGAAATTGTTTCTTAAAGAATTCCTGTCAAAGAATTCTAGCTTTTCTGTTTCTAGTCTAAGGAGTTATTCTAGTAATTTAAGAGAGCTAACTGGTAGAAGGAAAGTTCTTTGCACTTTAGTGGACTGAAGACTTGATTTTGGAAGTAAGTCCATAAATATAAATGAGATTTTTCCACTGGTAAAAGTAAAACATAGGAATTCTGAGAGCTGAAATAGCATGCTACTTGGCAAGACTTTAAATTTTTTAGTTAAAATTCCTTCACTGTCTATAGAAACAAAATTTAATTCCAGTTTTAAATTTGAAATCTTAATATGTAGCCAAGTCTATGACTTGTAAAACACTGTGCATAATTTTCTAATCAATGGAAATAAGAGTAAAAGAAAAAGATAAAATTAACTTTTTTCTAATGAGTCTAACTTTGATAATATAGTGGATAAAGAAATTAATTATTGGTAAATCAACATGAAATTTATTATTAGATGTTTAATCCTTGAACCTAAAATAAATCACTTGAGTATTATAAGTGGTATCTGTATAACATACTCTTTGGTTAATAATTAGATGTTACAGTGTGCTTTTATGTTTGCAGTTTAGTTTAAAACAACACTTGAGCATACCATTTCTGTTAGTGGTATATAGTCTTCAAACTAACAAGCCTGTGAACCTTGTTAGTTCAGTGACTGCCTTTTCAGGAGTATGGGACCAGATGATGTCCGTATATTTTTACCCCATGGGTCATTCTAGCCTAGGGACCACTAGTGGAACCCTCAGAAGTTAACTCCTATCTTAGGAGCTTAGTGGAAACTAGTATTGTAATAAATATTGAGGGAGTACCCAGGGTCTTAATAGGTTTCAGAATGATATTTTAACTCTGGTAACTACTTCCTCGATATTGGTGACCTTATAAGAGGGAATGTAACCCCTGGCAGTAATCTCATTGAAGTTATACTACCTGCCTAAATTTAATCTTACGTTTGTGTATTTGTTCCCAGTATTTCTCTTTCTCATTTTTATTATTGTACAGTTTCTTTACCTTTCAAGTATAAATGTGTATATAAAATGTAAATACAAGGAATTCACTAAATACCACTATTAATAACTACTGTGTAAATAAAACTTGTAAGCAGAGTAATTACTTGAAATGAGTCTTCATTACTTTGGGGATAACTGGTTTATTTAACCACATTTGGAGGGAAAAGGAAATTTTTTCTTTTTTTTTTTGGACAAATTTCTCTTCGAAGGGATATTTTGGTCCTTCAGCCTCTTGAGACTCAGTACTGGCAGCTGAAATATTATCCTGTATCTTCCTTTGAACCTCCTATACAGGAAGTATAGGGTTATTCAACACGGTCAGTGTATGACAATTTTGTTTCGTTTTGGTTAAAGTTGATTTTCAATTAAAAAGTTTTCCTAAAATCTTTAAGATTATGTGAAATTTAATATGTATAATGTTTCCTTTGTCTATTCTTTTACATAAATATATATAGATAATTTCTCACTTCATTGTCCTTTCAGCCCAGGTACAGATTGTATTATTTAAATGCTACTTAGAAGATCCTAGTATGACTTTTTCTAAAAGTCATAGAATATAATCATAGTTTTTGCTGATTTCTTTTGCAGTGATGATCTTCATATAATATTACTGGTCTGGGTGTATTTGTTTGACTTTACGAAAGTTAGATAGCATCTTCTCCCTTTCCCTCTGCCTGCTTACCCCCTCCCTCACCTGCCCCAGCTCAAGTCTGTCTCTCTCTCTCAAATAAATAAATATTGAAAAAAAATAACAGTTTTCATTGTATCTTAGGAATTAATGCTATTTTTTACCTAAAGCAGTCAATGTTTTAGAGACTATACTGTTGGAGGATATAAATTCTAAAGTATATAATCATGGAATAATTTACATTCATAATGCCATATGGTTTTTTGATTTTTCTTATTTTTGGTTGGATAAAACTATTTTGTATTCCATGAGCACATTAAGATAGAGATAGGTGTAAAAGAGGCAAAAAAATATGTGACAAAACAGCATTGGGAAATCAGCTTTTCATTTGCCATGACTAGTTGACATATATAGTGTCAGAAAACAAAAGTCTTACCTCCGGGGAAAAGTGATTTTTGTACTGAATGAATTCATTATTTTGATGTTGTCAAAGCAGTGCCCAAATCCCAAATGTAGTAAAATTTCATTAATTAGAACTTCGCTGTTTCACAACATGTAAAAACAGAAATTAAAATAGAAGATTTTAGGGAAACTACACTTCAGAGAGAGTAGAAAGCCTGGCCGTTTAAAAATATTGTTAGTAAACAAACAGTGTGATTGCAGAAGTGAACTACTTGGTATTTTGAATGAAAGTAGGAATGTTTGCTAAGCCCTGCTAAACACTGCCTCTTAATATTTTGATAGGCTAAAATTGCATTTCTTTCCAAACATTCTAACCATTCATATTTATCTTCCCTCTGTTTCAGTTAATAAGGTTTTACTATTTGCATTTCATTCTGTGGGAAAGGTTTATTTTCTAATAAGTACCAGAAAGAAGTTTTGACTTTCAAAATAATTGCATTACAACGTGTTGCATTTGTTGAACATTTAAATAAACAGTACTTGCACGATTTTATGTAAAGTAAAATGACTTTTGTACTATTGCATTGTATTTGGAAAATCATTTTTGTAATAAATATGTAAACTAATACAGATTTGAAAAAGTATGTAAAATTGACAACAATGGCGTATATATGTTCTCATTTTTCATCTTCAGGTAGAATACTATACATAATGTTATTATAAAAGCAGAAAGTGAAGCCTGTTTTTTCCCAGTCTAGGCAAAATTGATAATCAATATTGTAAGTAAATGATGTATTTTGATTATTACATAAATCCCAAGGCTTTTATTTTAATATCTAAATTATTAAGAAACTTTGAAAGGGAAGTATTGACTGAATTAAAATCTTGTAGATTATGGGATCCCTGGGTGGCGCAGCGGTTTGGCGCCTGCCTTTGGCCCAGGGCGCGATCCTGGAGACCCGGGATTGAATCCCACGTCGGGCTTCCGGTGCATGGAGCCTGCTTCTCCCTCTGCCTGTGTCTCTGCCTCTCTCTCTCTCTGTGACTATCATAAATAAATAAAAATTTAAAAAATATATATATTTAAAAAAAAATAAAATAAAATCTTGTAGATTATATGTAGGGTGCCTGTGTTTGGACTTTGAAAGTGAGAAAACAAATTGGAAAGTTTTGAATGATAGGGTTTGTTCTGTCCTAAAAGTATACTAAGTGATTTTTTTTCTAATATTTTATTTATTTATTCATGAGAGAGAGAGAGAGAGAGAGAGGCAGAGACACAGGCAGAGGGAGAAGCAGGCTCCATGCAGGGAGCCCGATGTGGGATTCGATCCCAGGTCTCCAGGATCACGCCCCGGGCTGAAGGCCGAGCCAAACCGCTGAGCCACTGGGGCTGCCCCTACTAAGTGATTTTTTAACTAAATTTTAGTGTAGAAAGGGAATTTCTCTTTATTTTGTTGTAATATTTCTTCTGATTTGATTTTTAAAGCCACTCATATGAGCCCTTGAAAAGTAAACAGTGCTCATCAAAGTTTTAATAATGTTTTACACTCTTTTAAAAATGCAAATCAGTTGGGCCTAGGTGGCTCAGTCAGTTAAGCCACTGCCTTCAGCTGAGGTCCTTAACCCCCAGATCCTAGGATGGCATTTTGCTTTGCTTCGGGCTCCCCGCTCACTGAGGAGTCTGCTTCTCCATCTCCCTCTGGCCCTCCCCTATGTTCATGCTGGCTTTGCTCTCCCTTTCTCTCTCTTGTTGTCTCTCAAATTAAAAAAAAAAAAAAAATGTAAATCAAATCCTACCATTTCCTTGCTCAAGACCCTCTAGTGGCATTCTTAATAACAAAAGTCCAAACTGTTTGCTCTACAAGGTCCTATCTGAACTGTTCTCCCTGCTTATCTCTACAATTCCAACTACCACTTAACCTCAACTCTACTGCAGACCCAGTAGATCTCTTGCCATTTCTCAATCTGCCAGCCTCCTATCTCCTAAGGGCTTTTACTCTTGCTGTTCCCTCTGAAATGCTCTTAACCTGGGTCTTTGTATGGCTTATATACTCTTTTGATTCAGGTCCCTGCTTCATGTCACCTCCTCAGAGTTACAGACCTTCCTGTAAATATCCATCCTGTATCATTCTCATGACCTTACTCTGTTTTGTATCTCTAGTGTCTGCCACTTATCACTACTTGACGTTGTTTTATATGTTTGTTATCTCCACTACAGTGTAAACTCTGAGGTCAGAAACATTGTCATTGTTTACCACTGAATTGGTAGTACCCAAAAAAGTAGTGCTTGGCACTAGTGATGATAGGTATGGATGGATAGATTGTTTTTATTTTAGGCCAGTCCTCAGTGAACTTACCTTTCATTTCAAATGTATCTGTTAGATGATGCATGTAGCCAGAAGCCCAAGTCATATTTCTGGTTCATTCAGAAAGAAGGTTCAGCAATTAAAGGTTGAGTAGAAGAGAGTGAACTAAGAGATATCAGAAATAGGAATATCAGGAGTGTGTTGGGGTCAGGAAAAAAAGAGATAAGCATATTTCCATAAAGGAATGAATGATAGTGTCAGGTGGTGGTGAGGTTGAGATGAGGACTGAGACATGC